TTGACTGAATAATTAGACAATGTATGAACCCGACTCCAAAACGCTCTTGAATATGAAGGAGTCAAAGCAATTCACACAATAACGGTCAGAGTCAAGCAGAGATGAGGTAGAACAATGCACTTATTAGAGTACGTCATCAAAAAGCATGAGTTATGAAAGAGAGCGCACAACAATTACTAAGGAGTTACGGCAGTTATGATCGAGGAGAGCCGTTGCATTTCGAGGCCGTTGTGCCCATTATTGTAACTGTTACCTTGTATAGTATAAAAGTTGAGTCCATGTAACAACATAGGGCCGAGACACCTTCTAGATCTTGTACTCAGACTCATACCAATACAATCACAAACTCTTAGTAATACAACTCTACTTGTTTCTATTTACTTGTTTCCTTAAACATATTTCGATATTAATATTACTGTCACATATTAATTACAAAACATTATTATGAGTTTTAAAATAACTGTGTTCTTAAGGCATGAATCAAGTTAAATGGAAAGAGACTCGTACTATTTCATCCACACCATTTTTAGGGTGGGTTTAGAAACAATGAAAATAACTTATGAAAAATGTTTTCGGGAAAATGATGAGTTATTTAATTTCCAGAAAATAGTTTTCATTTTCAGTGTTTGGTCGCATTATGAAAAACTGTCTTGTTGTATTTGGTTCATTTTATGGAAAATGAGTAGAATTGTATAATTAAACATTTTAATTGTTTTATTTAGAATATACAAATATTTATAATAATATTATTTATTGAAAATTGAAAAAAAATTCCATTGGAAACAAGTAAATACTAGTTTCCGCCGGAAATCAGAGCTGCTCTGGTTGCTGCGGAAACCAGAGCTGCTCTAGTTTCCCGCGGAAACGATTGTTGTCAACCAAGAAACAATTTGGTATGTGGAAAATGACTCCCCCAAATTTTGGTGAAAGTCATTTTCCTCCAAAATAGCCTTATTTTCTCAAGTCAACATAATTTTGATTGACTTAATTTTTCAGGCACATCCAAACACTGGGAAATTATTTTTCGGGTTTTCAAACACACCCTTAGTTGAAAAATTCATAATTCCTTTTAATTTATCATTTTTTTACCTATAACATATATAACTATATTGTAATAACGTCAAAGTTAAATTACTATATCAAAATCATATACAGAATATTATACTAAAATTATATAATATCGAATGTAAAAGCATGCAAGTAGTAAAGTATATATGCACTTGTTATATAAAAGTTAGGTGGAGTAGTAATGAAAAGAAGTTGAGCATAACATGGTTGAGTGTTGGTGAGGATTTGGTTTAGGTGCTAATCAAGCCAGAATCTAGCCTAGTTTAAAAGGAAGAAAGAGGGATGGTTTCAATGAATAATTTTTGTATTTGCCAAGAAATTCTGTCTTCAAAAACAGACAGAATGGCAACAAAAAAGCAAAAAAGACCCACCCACCTAGTACATTCGATAAGGAAATTAACAACCGTATTTCAATTGATTAGCATTTGCCTTTGATATAATCATGCTGGTTGTCTTGGATATTATTAGTAATTTTATGGAAAGTAGGGGTGTCAATGGAGGTTGGTCTGCCTCATTAGGCCTGCTTCACCGCAGTCCGCAGGTTGAAATTTAATTTTTGCGAGCCAACATGCAGATAGGATTTACCCATCCAGCAACACTATAAGTAGGGGTGTCAATGCAAGCAATCGTTATGCTATGGACACATGCATGCTGGACACGGGTAACAGTGCCGTTAGTGGCACTATTATCTTTCACTTTTTTTTTTTTTTTTTAAATTTCAGACCGCTTCGTTATAGGAGTATATGTTCATAATTTTATTACTATATGTTCATAATTGTAAGTTCATAATGTCAGAGCTTTATGCTCATAATTTCATAACTGTACATTCATACTTCCATAACTGTACATTCATAATTCAATAACTGTAACTTCATAATTTTTGAAGCTCTATGTTCACAATTTTAGAGCTCTATGTTCATAATTTTATCACTATATGTTCATATTGTAAGTTCATAATGTCAGAGCTCTGTGTTCATAATTCTATAATTGTACATTCATAATTGCATAACTGTACATTCATAATTCCGTAACTGTACATTCATAATTCAATAACTGTAAAATCATAATTTTCGAAGCCCCATGTTCACAATTTTAGAGCTCTAAGTTCATAATTTTATCACTATATGTTCATAATGTCAGAGCTCTGTGTTCATAATTTTATAACTTACATTCATAATTCCATAACTGTACATTCATAATCTCATAACTGTACATTCATAATCTCATAACTGTACATTCATAATAGCACAAACGAATAACGGCGTTAAGGCGAGACAAAATCAATTTTTTTTTTTAACTGGAATGACGCGTTTTCCCTGAAAACGACGTCGTTTTGGACTCGTGTCCACAATGCATTGTGGACACGGGTCCAGGGCAATCGTTATACCCTACACCACGGCGCACATAGCACTGTGCGCCTCCCAAAACGACGTCGTTTTGGGAGGCGCGTTAGGAAGTTGTTGGGATTATGTGTATTTTTTTTTTTTTGAATGGGATTATGTGTATTTGTTCACACAGTTATGTATATTTGTTCATACAGTTATGTGTATTGGTTCATACAGTTATGTACATTTTTATACAATTATGTACATTCTTTTTATACAATTATGTACATCCGAATCAGAAAATTTGTGTGTATTATGTTAATAGTTGATGTGTATTATGTTAAAAGTTTATGTTTATTATGTATTATGTTAGATTATGTGTATTATCTTTTAAAAAGAGTATGTATATTTTGTTATATAATTATGTACATTCATGTATACAATTATGTGTGTTCTAGTATAACATTATGTACATTCTTGAACAACGGGTTTTTTTTAAAGAAAAAACTATTGCCATTCACTGGGGCGGGAAATTTCAAAAAAAAAAAAAAAAATTAAAACGACGTCGTTTTGCATCTGGGCGCATAGTGCAACGCGTGCCGTGGTGTAGGATATAAATTGCCGGTCCAGGGCATAATTTGCGCAATGCAGGTTGGTCTGCCTCATTAGGCCTGCCTCACTGCAGTCCGCAGGTTGAAATTTAATTTTTACCAGCCAACATGCAGATAGAAATCTTCAATCCTAACCCGTCTCATGCGGGTTCACGGACTCCGCTGGCCAACTTCAATTTTTTTTTTTAAAATTAGTATAGTATCTTAGTTTTATATATATATATATATATATATATATATATATATATATATATATATATATATAATTTTTTAAATTATTTTTATTAAAAGTCTGCTGGTTGGCCGGGCGTATGCAGGGTAACTCGTGTAGCCCGTCAACCTGCCAGGCTTGTATCTTTGTAGGTAAAAAATTTTAGACCTTAACTTATATCACCGCAGGACCAATTGTTATGCTGTGCGCATGGTGCACACGGTTGCAAAACGACGCCGTTTCATTAAAAAATAAAAATTCCGTTCGAATTGTAGTTAACAGCGTTAGACGGTTTTCTTTCGTATTCAAACAGTAGAATATATCCATAAATTCATAACTATATATCCACAAATTCATACCTATATATCCACAAATTCATAACTATATATCCAGATCGAATTACATAACTATATATTCATAATTTGACAACAGTACATTCACAAATAATAATAACTACACATTCATAATTCCATATCCATATATTCATAATTTCACAACTAGACACTTATAATTACATAACTCCATATTCAGAATTCTTAAAGTGCTTGTTCTTAGAGAACTATATTCATAATTTCAAAACTATATATCCACAACTTCATAACTATATATCCATAACTTCATAATTATATATCCATAATTTCGTAACTATATATTCAGAAGAGTAAATACCCAAAATGGTCCCTCGACTATAGCTAAATTCAAAAATTGGTCCTCGACTTTCATTTTCAACCAATTAAGTCCTTAACTTTGCAATTTTGACACGATTTGGTCCTCCATCTATTTGACCGTTTGTTGACCGCGATCTTTGAGGATATATATGTAGTTTCACGTGCAAAGCTCAAGAGAACGCTCTTGGAGGTGACATCGTTGTTTCGGATGGGGAAGTGCTTCTCCGCTTGTTGCTTGGGGATCACGAGCCGGTTCAGCTTAGAGAACGCTCTTAGAGGTGACAACGCCGTTTCGGAGGGGGGAAGTACTTCTCCGCTTGCTGCTTGGGGATCCCGAGCCGGTTCATCTTGCCTACATCGCTTGGAGTCACGGCTTTCTCGAAGAGCCACTCCAGGGACTTCGACGATATATCTATCAAAAGCTATAATCTCTCCTGCATGGGGTGCAGCGCCTGCAGTGGATTCAAATGTAACAGTGCGGTCTAGAAATGCAACCGAAACCTTAAAAAACCGACGATGGACCATGAAATTACATATATATCCTAAAAAAGTGCAGTCAACAAACGATCAAATAGGTAAATGACCAAATTGTGTTAACATTGCAAAGTTAAGGACTTAATTGGTTGAAATTAAAAGTCGATGACCAATTTGTGAATTTAGCTATAGTCGAGGGACCATTTTGGGTATTACTCTATTTAGAATTGCATAACTATATATTCATAATTACACGTCGATTAGAGTTTTTGTAAATAAAAATAAAAAACAAAAAAGTTTGATTGGTGGAATTAAACGGTGGCAACCGTTACTCAATCATATTAAAGAGTATCGTTTTGCAACCGTGTGCACCATGCAGCATAATTTGCGCCGCAGGATGGTTTAGAGTTGACCCATGAACTTCAGCCCACTTTGATACTCCTAATTATAAATGATGGAAACTCTTATGTGTAAGATGAATAGGCCAATTTACTCTCTAACAACTCTTACACAAGAGTTTTGAGACTTAAAATTAGTGTGCACTAAGCTATAAAAAAAGTTGAGAGTGAGTGTAGCCGTGTAGGTATTATTGATCCCATAAATGGTGTTCAACCCACGTGTCATCTTCACACTTGAAGCCGCAAAAAAAGTCCGTTTTCTCTCCCAGCCGGGTCATGCTTTAAATTCATGTATCAATGTCCCAATGACTCTTTGTCGCATAAACATTAATTAAACAGAGCTCCCAAGAATGTCAGCTTGTGATGGAGCTTCTGCTTCTGCTTCTGTGAGGAGCCTAAAATTTAGTGAATTATCAGAGGAGGACACGCTCAGAATCACTGTGGATCTTGTAGCTGCTGCAAGGAGGAATCTTGGGTTCCTAAAATTCATTGCAGAATCTCCCTTTCTTCACCAAACTCCAGCCATTCTTGAATCCATTAGAAGGTTCTTCATTTCCTTGCTTACTACTTCAACTCTTTCATCTCATAATCTGGGAATTTATTTATTTATTTATTTTTTTATTATCTTTTTTTCCCATTTTATGATGATTCTGGGTTTGAGTTATGTGCAGATATGATCAGCTATGGATGCCCTTGATATATGACCTCACAAATGGATCCACACCCCCCATGATTCTCCCTCCTGTTGATATTGAATGGGTTTGGTTCTGTCACTCCTTAAACCCTGTAAGTTGTGCCAAAAGCTCAATCCATTCATCTGCATTTTTGTTTTTTTTTTTTAGAAAATCTTGGAAAATAAAAAAGAAGAATTTGCATTGATTTCTAGGGTTAAAATGAAAAATAAAGAAAGACAATAATTGAACCAAGATAAAAGCTACTTAGGCTTTCATGTAAGTTAGAAGTTAGTGGATGATTGTAAAGTTTCCAACTTTCCCTTCGCATTTTTATCTCAAACCAAAAAAATAAGTATATAAGATCTGCAAACTTGTTTTAATTTTTATTTTAATTTAGGGTTTAGTAGTATTGTTTCTGGGTGTTGATACTTGATAGAATAAATCTGATTTCAGGTCAGTTATAGGCAATATTGTGAGTCAAGATTCTCGAAAGTCATTGGAAAAGCCACCATTTTTAATGAAGAAAATGAAGATTATGCATTGAATAGATGCAGAGAAATTTGGCTTTCTAGGTACCCATCTGAGCCTTTTGAGAATGAATGTGATTCGAACATGGAAAACCGGGTTTCCACTGTTCAGGAAGATCTGCTGGAGGAAGTATCGAAGCAGAGATTTTTGTACACTAAATTTACAGAGCCGTATTGTTCTGAGATTGTATATCTCATAGCAGCAAGGCAGCGGTATAAAGGATTTTTGTATATGGTGCATAGATTCGCCGATAGCTGCCCCAAATTCGTGCCAACTTCAGATATTCTCCTAATGTGGTTGACCCATCAGGTCCGCTTTTAAGTTTTATCTTCCTCGTTGCATCTGAAACTTCATTTTAGCTCATGTATGGGTTTGCTCTAATTTGCCTTCGTTATAATTTCTTTGATTAAAAAAGAAAGAAAATAATGGAGGGGGCTGGGTGAGAATTGATTATTCATTTAGAACAAAGAAATCTTTTTTTTTTGAATGCTAGAACAAAGAAATCTACTTAATCCATTTTTAAAGATTTGATCTTGGCATTATCTGGGAAAAAGAATATGTCTTTATCTAATGACAGGTCAGTTGCACTAGAAGTTTGAACCAACTTGTCTAATTTGCAATGGCCTTCATTGACATTGGCGAGCTTTTAAAAATTAAACACTAAAGAATAAATTAATTGATTACGTTATTATAATAGAGTACTTGTAGTGGCCATAGTCATTTTCTCGGTAGTTGTTAACATATATGTTACAAAGTATATGTGATTTGTGGTAATTAGTATGGGTTTTGGTTTTTCTTTACCAGAGCTATCCGACAGTGTATGCATTTGATACCAAAGAGATAGAGAAAGAACTAATTAAAGTAGCGGGCACGTGGGAGGTTGCGAAGAAAGTAGAGATCGAAGAGACCAAGAAACTGTGGGAGAGGACGTTTGAACAACCATATGAGAAAGCGGGAGGCACAGCCGTTGGGAAGGATGTTATGGTCAAGTCTCCTATCCAATGGGAAGTCACGGGCACCGATGTCAACACGAAATACAAGTCCATGCTACCCAGATTCTTACTAGAGGTCAGTTTGATCACATTAACTGTTGGCTGTTAGCTGATTGTGTTAATTAGAGGGTATAACTAGTTGATAACATTAACTGTTGTAAAAAAGTGTTTGGTAAATTAGCTGTTAGCTGATAGCTGTTTGGTATTATTTCTTTTCTGAAACAGCTAATTGAAAAAGTTGCTTGGAGTAGCTTTTTGAATTTTAGCATTTTGGAGTTTATATATCTTACCTTATACTGCAGCTATGTGTAATGGTGAAACTAAGAACTAAAACCGGAATTGCGAAATGGAACATGTCGAAAGAGTTTTTACGACTACGATGTGTAAGATGCCACAAAGAGCTGAAAATGGATACACCCGTCTCCAACTTCACCTCAGACACATGGCACAAAGCCTGGCATCTCTACTGTGAATTTGGAACCAAAGGGATGATTCTCGAGCTTCGTAATCGTGGTGGCCGCTGCATTAAGGGAAGTAAGCTAACAGAAGGCGCAACGTTTCTTTGGAATGATTTATTACGGGCACCCTCTCTTTCTCTAGTAACGGAGTTGGATCAGAAAGTGAGGGTAGCTGCCTCGATCACTCCGCCCGTTCAAGCATCGTACTTGTTGAAATGTGTCCCGGATCGGGTTACAGATGATTCGGGGGCAATGATATCGGATGTTATTTTGAAGCTGAACCACTATCGACCTCAGGAAGGTCGATGGTTGTCTCGAACTGTCTTAGACCACGCGGGTAGAGAGTGTTTCATCGTTCGAGTAAGGTACAAGGCCAATTTCAATTCGTTTTGTTTTAATTTCATTGTCCTTTGTGTCTCTGGATATTACATATTTACATATTTACATACCCCTCGTGATTTCTCAACATCAATGGTAGAATCGGGGGAGGAATCTGGAGGAGAGGGGCGGAAACTCCATCAGCAGTGAAATGGGAGGACAGGATTATAGAAGTACGAGAAGGCTGTTGGTCATATGTTGCTGGCTCCATCGGGAGAGCTCCTGGTATGCAAGCGATGAATGCCATAAACATAGTTTTCGATGCTCTTTCTATGCTCAAAATTTTCACTTCCTTTCCTAATTGATCATGTTTTTTTGTTGGCATCTAGTGCAGAGAAAATTGTCGGGACTGCTACACCAAAGGAACCGCCTGAAGGATGCCATGCTTTATGGAACTTCTCTACGGGCAATAAGCTGTTAGTACAACGAGGATCATCAAATCACGGTTCACGTTTTGCTTTTAGTCTAACAAATCACCAACATCCAGATTCAACGGTACACTTAAAGAAAACGGAAAAAAAAAACATATCTTTGTCATTTCTTGATAGTTTTATAACTGTTACGAAACTGTCTTATAGAAAAGAGAATACAAAGCCCTATAAGTAGGTACTAGAAGACTACGAATAGGAAACAAGTTTTCATATGTCCTGCCTACCTAAAACCCTAAACTGTCTAATATATAGAGATTCTATATATCAAATATATATTCCATAACAATAACAATTAGTGAAATTGCAGCAGGTAAAGTTGGTTGAAGGGCGGAAGATGGAGTATGAAGTGAAGAAGTCTGGCTCGGGCATGGAAGTAGAGGATGAAAACGAGGATGGGTTTTTGACAGTTGTTAGGTTCTCGGAGGACAACCCGACAGGAAAAGCCACCGGGCTTCTAAACTGGAAGCTACTGACGCTAGAGTTTTCGCCCGAAGAAGATGCGGTGTTGCTACTTCTTCTGTGCATGTCCATAGTCAAAAGCGTGACGGAAATCAACAAGGAAGACATGGGGAGCCTGCTGATCAGGAGAAGAATAAAGGAAGCGAAACTAGGAAACAGAGATTGGGGCTCGGTCATTCTCCACCCTTCTTCGTATTCTCGTTCCCTTTCTTCCCCTCATGTTCAGCCTTGGTACTGGCACGCCAAGGCCGTGATGGGGTTGCAAGAACGAGATAAAGTCCCCCGGCCAACTGCTCCATTGCTGACATATTCCCAGGCGGAAGGAGGCGATAATTTGTACAAGCGCGGTATAATAAATTAAAATGGCATTCAAGAACCACTTGTAAGGTAAGAGATAGTTTGGTTTAACCACTTACTATGAACATAATATAAGGTAAAAGAGCCGTTACGGGCTTAGTTCACTGGTTCAGTAGGCAGCAGCTGCAGTGCGGGATTATGCTCAAAGTGGGCAGATCCCTTGTGTGCATCGGCATTTGGCCCTATCTGCTGAGCCACTGAGTTACCGTGATTTACATCTTCCCAAATACTCTGTTAGGCTGTAGGGGGCCCTTAGGATTGTGGATTCAACCTTTTGGGATAATATAATGTAAGAGAGTTTTGTTTCTTCTCAGTTGAGGCAAGCAAGAGATGGAAATGAGTAAGGTTGCAGCTTCAAGTGCTTGCTTCTAGGACCCTACCCAGGAGAACATTTCTACATTTTGGACATGATCTTTCTTGGAAAATTTATGAAAACTCTCTGATTGTTTTCAGCGAGTTTTCTGAAAAGGCTAGTTGAAAATTACTAATATTTATGCATATTTAAATAAAAATATTTTAAAATACAATGATATACATTTTTATATTTGCCCTATATTTGCATGATCTTAGGTTGTAATTTTTTGTTTCCGTAAAGGCCTCTTTTTTTTTTTTTTTTTTTTTTTTTTTTTTAAGGTACGTAAAGGCCTATTAAAAGCAAGAGAAATAATATTGTTTAGATTTAATGAGGTCATTTTATTGTTTGTGTGCACAGGATGTCTAAAATGCAGTGGAATGAATGAATTGATTTGGTTTTTATGGTAGGGTAGTGTCTCCAAAGTTAGATGGTTTATGGCATAGCCGCACAGGTCTAGTGTCATACTAAAATTTTTTAGCAATAATATTCAACAAATCAGTAAATAGTAAATGCATGAACATAATATATATATATATATATATATATATATATATATATATATATATATATATATATATATATATATATATATATATAGAGAGAGAGAGAGAGAGAGAGAGAGAGAGAGAGAGAGAGATCAGGTGCAGGAATAGCTTCACGTGCGGTTGTGCGATTGGACGCACATTAAACATTAAACTGACGCACTTTAAGTACACAACACACGCATATTAAGCATACAAACAAAACACCTTAAGAACACAAATCACGCACCTTAAGAACACCAACCACGCACCTTAAACACATAACAAAGCACATTAAGAACACAAATCATGCACCTAAGGTTTTAAAAATAGTTCACTTTAAGTTTCATATAACTGACGCACCTTAAGATGAAAACAACGCACATTAAGAAGGAAACTCACGCACTTAAGTTTCACCAACTACTCACATTAAGCACAAACTCACGCACCTTAAGCACAAAACTTACGCACCTTAAGTTTCAACAACTACTATCATTAAGTACACAACCCCACGCACCTTAAGCACAAATCTCACGCACCTTAAGCACAAACTCACGCACCATATATACAAAACTCACGCACCTTACTCACAAAAATCATGCACCTTACATTTGACCTAAATGTAAAAAATTATCAAAATGCCACTGCGTTTTTTATTTAGTTTTGGTAATCTAAATGTTGATTTAAGCAAAATCAATGGTTCTCCTTTCACCGCACAACCGCACCTGACACCCTCAACCGCACAGGAACCCATTTCTATAGATAGTTGAGTTCAGGTGCGACGACCCCTTCCCGTGAGGTCGTGCGCCGGTTTTCAGAATACACCAATAGTTAAGCAAGATAAACACCATCAACGTCAAGAAATGCACCACAAAAACACACACAAATTAGGTACGCATCACCAAATACACACCATTAGGTATGACTAAAAGCACCACACAGTGTTTGGAAATACACCATTAGTGGTAGAGAGTTATATGGTGTATTTTTTTTTGGTGTGTTGTGCATTTTTACATTTCATTGTTGTGTGTTTCTCTTACACTATTGGTGCATATTGTTAACACTGTTGGTGTATACTGAAACCGCCGCACGACATCACCTAACAACATAACCGCATATGATCATTATATATATATATATATATATATATATATATATATATATATATATATATATATATATATATATATATCTAAAAACATAATAAGTGTCAATACAAGTTATGTCCTTGATTTTTGTCCCTTTTTTATATGCTAATAAATATATACATTTTGCTTTAATTGTTGTACATTTAATTTATATTGGACAAAATCACCCTTACACCGTTATAACACCGTTAGTATTTAATATATCCACCAATCTTACCATACGCCTACATCTATCATATCTTTTTCCTATTTTTAGTTATCATTTTATTAAAATTATCATATAACAATTAATTTAATTATAAATTATATTTTAATTAAATATTTATATGAATATTATTTATATACATACATATTATATATATATATATATATATATATATATATATATATATATATATATATATATATATATATATATATATATATATATATATATATTGTTTTGATCACTATATTCAAATATATGATAATTCAAAAGTATCATCACTTTAAGGAATTGCGAAACATAATTTTAACTAATTTTTAAAATTTTGTTACTTAACAATATTTTAATATTGGGCATAGGTTTTCGCGCATCGCGCGTACAAAATGCTAGTATATATATATAAGGAGTGGTTCGGTGCGAAAAAAACTGCAGGTGAAACATGCGGATAAATCTTAGCCTTAGATCAAGTCCTCTTTAAAAAAAAAAAAATTGTCACCTACCATCTTCAACAATATATATGCACCGGAAGGCACAACAATGTGTATTGGTAGACAAAAATGTGCACGGAAAAGAAGAAAGATGTGAAACAATTATTGAAAAGACTAACTTTAATATAGAATCTTCAACACAAATCATAAACGACCATAAATAATAAACAAGTAAACAAGATTCAAGTCAAATTAGTAATTAGTGATCAAGATTAACTTATTTAAAAAAAAAAAAGAAGTTTGTCACCTCTGGAAAACTCAACAATGTGCTCTGAAAGGCTCAACGATTTGTAGTCCAAGGTAAAATAATATGCACTTCGAAGGCACAACAATATGCTCTGTACGCTCAGCAATGTACTCTGAAAGGTCAACAATGTGCACTTGAAGAAAATTAATGTGATCTGAAAGGCACATCAATCAGTGTGCTCTAGAAGACACAACATTGTGCTCTGAAGTGTACAACATTGTGCTTTGCAAGAAGAAAAAAAAAATGATATGAAAGATTAAAAAAAAAAATTAACTTATACAAAATTACAATAATGTCACCACATTTTTTTTTAAAAAAAAAATAACTTCATTATGACCCTTGATCTAGACTGAATCAATGGATGATATTAAACCTTATTTTTCATCTAAGAGAACCGTTTCACCTAATCCGTTATATATATATATATATATATATATATATATATATATATATATATATATATATATATATATATATATATATTAAGAAGAGAGTTTCAACTTTTGGTTAGGGGATCTGATTTCATTAATTAATTAATGTCTTATGGCTAATCAGTTTGTGATATTAATTTATTTGAACTTATTTGTGTCCAATAATGGGTATTGTGAATTAGTTATAATTTTGACTTAAAAGCCTACAACTGCTACTGAAAAATAGCTTTGGGTGAAGCCTTTTTTTTTTTTTTTTACCTAGTCTACAAGTACGTTAATCAGTTTAAATTATTTATAGCTAACCGATTCAATACAAGAAGCCCAATAGATAATTCTATGAGAATTAGTTATAAGTTGCCAATTATTCAAAAGGGTAAGTTGGTTTTACTATTTGATTGCAAAAATGTTGTTGATAAAAAAGGTTACTCATACTCTGCAAGAAAAGAAGCGAATAATTAATTATGTTGATTATTTAGTAAATTTAAAACAAACAAGTAATTGGCAAACAGTGGTGATATATAATCTATCTATAATTGACCGTAAATATGTTACCAGATAATATTTATGTATAAGTGAACAGAGACAAATTGTATTATTATGTTTAGAGTACAATATTTTCATAGAGTCCCCCTCTCATGTGACATGGGTTCATCCTTTATACTATAAACTTGTAAGTTGTAACGGTTACAATAATTGCACAATGGCCTCCTATTATATCCCTCGGCTGGCTCCTTAGTAATTATTGTGCGCTCCCCTCCATAATTGTGTTGGCCCTCCATAAATTCCTACGATGCTCCTAATAACTACTCTCTGCTTGGCCATTACAGTGTGTTAATTTCTTTGACTTCTCAAGTTAGATCAATAGCACCGAGTCAGGGGTACGATCCAGTGCCCTGCCTAATTAACCTGTCACCAGCCCCCCTACTCTTGAACTGCGAGCGTAGTGGAGTCAGCTAGGGAGTAATGATAGTGTATGCTCATTGAATATCCCCTAACCAGCCTCTCTGTCCGCAGAGTACGAGTGTAAAGAAGTGGGACGAGTAGAAATTTTATTATTTCATTTTTTATGTTGAGATTAACAAGAACAAGAAAAATAATAATGGCAGAAAAGTAAAGAAGACAAGATTTACGTGGTTCGGCAATGTGCCTACATCCACGGGAGTGAAAGTATTCTCTTATTATTTGTGATGGTGTCCTAGGTGATGAGATACATTGATTATATTTATAGGCATATAATCTCCCTTTCACTCCTATTCCTTATATGAGACAAACTCATATTCCTAATCCTTATATGAGACAAACACAACAAATCTCCACCTTGGCGAATATGCTCTCTAGGAGAAAAAGATAACTCAACAAATCTCTACCTTGGCGAATAAGCCCTTTAGGAGAAAATACTTATCTAACCATCTCCACCTTCGCAAATAAGCCCTTTAGGAGAAAAAACTCATCTCATAGTCTCCCTGGATTAGGACCACCATGTTCATTTAACATCTGGAAACACCCAACAAGTCCAAACAGTGTTTGAACTTGTCACTAGTAACTGCCTTTGTCAACATGTCTGCTGCATTCTCACTTGTATGAATTTTCTGCAACAAAATCTCACCAGAAGCAACCAACTCTCTGACCTTATGAAACCTTACATCAATATGTTTGGTTCTGACATGGTATACTTGATTTTTAGCTAAGAAAATGGCACTTTGATTGTCACAGTGTAATTGAACTCCATCTTGCTCAATACCCAACTCCTTAATCAAACCTGAAAGCCACAAAGCCTCTTTAGCTACCTCAGTCACAGCCATGTATTCTGCTTCAGTTGTAGACAAAGCTACAATTGACTGAACTGATGATCTCCAACAAACAGGACCACCCCCAAGAGTAAAAACATACCCTGTCGTAGACCGTCTATTATCCATGTCACCAGCATAATCAGAATCCACATATCCCATGAGTACATGCTCATTCTGTTGACTCCTAAATACAATACCATGCTCCATAGTGCCCCTTAAGTACCGGAGAATCCATTTAACTGCTTCCCAATGCTGCTTCCCAGGTTTAGACATGTACTTACTAACTTGGCTAACAGCATGAGCCAAATCAGGTCGAGTACAAACCATTGCATACATTAAACAGCCAACTGCACTAGCATAAGGAACCTTTGCCATATTTTCAATCTCACTAACTGTTTGGGGACACTGATTGGAAGAGAGTTTAAAATGATTAGCCAAAGGGGTACTAACCGGTTTAGACTTATTCATCCCAAACCTGTCAAGAATTTTCTCTATATAACTCTGTTGAGTTAGCCACAACTTTCTTGCACCTCTATCCCTGTGAATTTCCATGCCAAGAATTTTCTGTGCAACTCCTAAGTCTTTCATATCAAATTCCTGACCCAACAAAACTTTCAATGCAGCAATATCATTCATACTCTTAGCAGCGATCAACATATCATCCACATACAGTAACAGAAAAATAAAAGAACCATCACCAAGGCTTTTAACATAGACACAACAATCATACTCACAACGTGTATAGCCAATTTGAATCATGTAAGCATCGAACCGCTTGTACCACTGCCGTGGAGCCTGTTTCAGCCCATACAAAGACCTCTTGAGTCGACAAACCAGGTGCTCACCTCCAGGTTTAACAAACCCTTCAGGTTGCTTCATGTAAATTTGCTCATCTAAATCACCATGTAAAAAAGCAGTTTTCACATCCATTTGTTCCAAATGCAAATCCCAAATGGCTACCAAAGCAAGTACTAATCTGATAGAAGTATGTCTAACAACAGGAGAGAAAACCTCATCATAATCTATCCCCTTCTGTTGAGACAAACTCATATTCCTAATCCATATATGAGACAAACTCAACATTTTATAATAATAATTTTTAATTTTTTTTTTGTTGCCGGGAACGAGGCACGGGCTCGGCCATGGTAGAGGCCTTGGCCGAGGACTGCCTCAGCCACTATGGTCGAGGATGGCCTTAGCCACCATGGCCAAGGAATTCCTCGGCCATGGTAGGGGCTGAGGCGCAGCCTCAGCTGGTGGCCGAGGACTACCTCAGCCATGTCAAAGGTCGAGGCACAGCCTCGACTGGTAGCAGAGACTGAGGACGGCCTCGGCTATGCGTTTATTTTTTTTTATTGATTTGTTTTTTTTTTTAATTTTATTTATTTATTGTTTTGTTTTTTTTCCGGTGTTTATAGCTCACTTTGGTCAGCCGTGGACTCGGTTAAAGGTCAGCTCTTCCATAGGGTAGTGAGCGAGGTCAGACCCTGTACTGGCCCTTAGGGTATAGCGTTTTCGTAACCAAGCTTTGAGCTTGACCAAGAAAATGTCCATCCGTCGAGTAGCTAGCGGGATTGGATCCCGTGCCGGCCCTTAGGGAATAGAGTGTGTGAGGACATGCCTCATTCAAATGAGTACGAGGACACGACCTCAGCCTCCCTTCTTTGTTTCTGGCCTCGGTCATGGTGGATGAGGACAGGCTTCCTACTATACTAACACAAAGGGTTCCGTGGACAAGAGTATAAACATTTTTTTTTATTCAACAAAATTTATCATGGCGGACCATGACCAATAGTTGCATCAATAATCTTATTGTTTCTTATGTGTTTTAGCGATAACATATTTTTTGCGTTTCGCGGGTTCCTCCTCTAACTCCTTTTCTCTTTCTTCCATGATCTAATTGTACCCCCTCTTTTTTGTGTCAGAGGTGGATGGCTCGGGGCTCTCTCCCTTTCACCATACGTTTTTAGGTTGGCCTTGTTGATGGTGTTGTTGTTATTGCATTGGATGCTTCACAAATTGAGTGAAGTATCCCATCTGAATGAGCTCCTCTATTTGTCTCTTCAGAACGTGACACTCGTTAGTATCGTGGCCAACCTACCGATGAAACCGACAATATTTGGTTTGGTCTACCTTAGGGGAAATTAAACTTTCATGCACTCATCTGGGAACTGCACCATCACTATCTCCTCGGCTTGGTCCAGGATTACGCCAACCAGATGGATCAGTGGGGTTAAATAACGCAAGGGGATCAAACGGGGTCCTCCTGAGGATTGATCTCTACTTCCCTTATTTGATGGAGCCGAGCCTGACACCTGGTTGGTTGGAACCATTTTATCGGACTTTCCCCCTGCCTTGCCTTCCTCCTCTTCTCTCTTCTTATTATCGGCTTCCTCTACTTCTGCGTAGCGGTTGACCGTCCTTGATCATTAGATCATTGTTGTTATTGTTATTATTATTATATATAACAAATCATATGTTCATTTTCAAGAAAATGAACCAAACAGGAAAAATAATGTAATTTCTTAATTTTCAACCAAACAGAAAAAGACAATTTTCTTATATTCAACCAAACACTAGAAAGTTAAAATATTTTATAAAAAATAAGTCATTTTTTGGAAAATATTTTTCAGGTTTTCGAACCGACCCTTAATTTTGTTTCATCACATTTTTAACTTTCATTTACTTGTTACAATTAATATGTCATTTAAATTCCACCAATAATCAAGAGGAGTAACATGTAATTTCATCATTCAATTATAAGAGTTTACAGAAGAGAGATAAAATATGTAATAGAACAAGATGCTTGAATGATAAAATTATATGTTAACCATTTTTATTAAACGATTGAATGATACAAATGTAAATCAAGGACTAATTGTGGCTAACAAATAAAAGTTAGAATGTAATTAGACAAAATTAAAAAAAAAAAAAAAGACTAAATATAGCAATGTCACAATAATCAATACCTAAAATTGAATTTTGCTCTTTGACTAACCGTACACAATTAAATAACCTATTAAAAAAAAAAAACAATTTTCTCTAAACATAATAGAAAATAACGGAGTTCTTTTTTCTTTTATGAACTTAATTAATTATGAAAGCAGACTAAAATCACCTAAAATTTTGCATTTATCTAACTAGGAGCTAATGAATTAATGAACCGTACACAATATTAAGCTAAGGTAGAAAAAGAAATTTTCTAAATTATATTTGGATGGATCGTAGAAGCGTATTGCAGTACGTGATGGTTGACATGCAATGCATGGTTCTCAACATCATGCAATCACCTTTTCTTTTTCTTTTTTTCTTTTTTTTTTTGGAAAATGGGTCAACAACGTAGATACCACTCAATTTTGCTTGTCTTTGATTGGATGTGATAAGCTATCCAATATGGATGGGGTGCGTTTGCAAGAGATTTTGCATCGATTGCTTATCATCTTTACTTCGCAATAATTATCATTCATCTTTTTAAGAAAATGAAATTATTAATGATTTAATAGGTATATTTATAGTACAAATAACTCATTATTAGTTGTTATGAATCCATTGACAAAATGTAAAGAGTGAGATAACATTTACCAAGAAAGATGACTCTGGCCCAACTCATGGTTACAAGATTATTGAATAATCATACTGATTTCAGGTTCGATCTGTGCATTCTTGGCCTAATTCGTCAAACTGATTAAGGCAATCAAATAGTAACAGTGCGTCAGGAGCTAAGCAAAGCTGGGAGCGATTGTACTAAGCGCAAGACACTTATTATAGCACCGCCTTATTAAGAAGCAGCAGTTATGGAGGCCAACACACTTATGAAGGAGAAACACAATTATTAGAAGGTAGTTGTGCTCATTATTATAATTGTTATACTCAATAGCCATTGTATAGTATAAAACCTTAGGCCATGTGATAGCAAGGGGGATACGCTCAATCTTGTACTAAGAACTTAAGAAATACAACTTGTCTTTCTTTACTTACGCACTAACATTTTCAGTAACATTTCTTACCGTCATTGGTGCTTTCATTGAGAGTTTGCTATGAACTCTCAAGCAGGCTATCATATACGTCTTTCTTTCTCATCAACAAGCTCTGAGCAATGGCACGATATGGATCATGCAACTCCCATGGTTCCTGCAGCATGAACCCCAATGACAACGCTAGTGGACACGATCGATCGACAAACTCACATGATCTCTACGACCAACTCTATAACAATCATGGTAGAAAGGAGCAAGGGCTCAGAGCACCATTTCCGCTTCGCCTATGGACCTCCAAGCAAGTATCTAAGCCATTCAGCAAGTAGCAGCGGAAAACTAACTCACTTGGTGGCAGGGGTGCAGAACCTGGTTTCCCTGCTGCCACTCTAATATGAAGTTGAGGTGATATCATCGCGACATGAGAGAACCCAACAACGAGAAGGAACCCAAGGAAGAAGAGCTAGGGGCCAATGCCAACGTACGGAAATGAGGGTGAGGGTGTTTAATGAGGTGGGTTAGCTGGACGACCGCCGGTTCCAGGCCCGTACTGGAACGGTTGGGCAAAAGTGTGTCGGACTAGGAGAGGTTAGGGTCACACTAGGGGCCAATGGGTCATCAACTAGGCTTGAACATTCCTAACACTTAGAAAGGATATGTGACTCGAGTGGGCCAACCTCACGCAAGTTCAGTGTACAAAGACCAACCTTGAGCGGGCAAGATGATGTGATCAAGTACCTGAAAAAAAAAAAGATTAAAAAATTAGAGAAGAGAGTAGAGGCAAGGAGCAATCACACAAACCTAAAGTAAGGATGACAACATCATTTACTCTATGTATAATAGATGCTCCCTCCCTAAAGACCATAGGCTTCCGGACATCAAGGCCTACACTGGGGCCTCTAACCCGCGTGTACATATGACAAGGTATAAAGCGACTATGGTGATAACATGACATAAAATTAGTTCAACACAATTCCAGATGGGTTAATACAAAGTTTTGTCGAGCAGTCAAACAACTTCTTGATGTATTTCTCTAACAACATTCAGTGCAAGAAACACTTTGCTTATTTGTGTACTATCAGACAAACCAAAGGAGAAAGTCTAAGGGACTTTGTAGCTTGATGGAAGAAAGAAGTGAACAATTTGTATGATTTTGATGAGAAAGTAGCTGTTATATTTTTCACCCGGGCACTGAGGTTGGGAGAATTCTACAAACGCTTGAACACTAGTTATTCTTGGTCTTATGGCGAGTTGATGAGGATGGCTAACCATTTCACTAAATTAAAGCAAAGGAGACCAATAAGAAGAAGAGGAAGGAAAGGCAGGAGGAAAGTCTGAGAAAATGACTCTAACCAACCAAGTGTCTGGCTCGGCTTCATCAAAGAAGGGAAGTAGAGATGAGGATAGTCTAATTTTCAAATGAATGCATGAAAGTCTCTTCGAAGGTGGACCAAAGTAATAAATATTGTCGACTCCACCGCCAGATTGGGGACAACATTCACGAGTGCAACATTTCGAAGAGACAAATAGAAGAACTCATTCAACGGGGATATTTTTGTGAGTTTGTGAAGCTCTAGGACAACAACACCAATATCAGCAGTAGGGCCGAAACGGATTACGACTATAGTGTTTAAGCACTCAAACATATAGTCCGATGAACTAGAACAACGGGCAAGCACTTCAACCTTTTATGGAAGTGTTAGCAGAGTTTTTTGTAAGAAAAGAGTTGAGAGTGGAAGGGAGAAGCTGACATTTTCCACAAAAAGTATTACATTTTTCGTTATCAGTAACAAACATTTTATTCCTGATTAGTATTACATTTGAGCATATAAGTATGACATTCGCATGTTGATCTGACCCGACTCGACCCGTCTCACCAATTATATGGTAATTCTCATTTTCTTCTTCCGTGTAACCAACTGCAAAGGCTTCTCCGTCCATATTTGGACGAAGAATAAGCCACGACAATTGTGCTCCATTCAAATCCGGCTTCTCTAGTTCTCCGTCGCCGGAATTTTGTTTTCTTGTTTTTTTTTTAAAAAAAATTTTAGTTTTTTTTTTTTTTTTTTTTAATGAGATGCCATTGACCTATTGGTTACCTTTTGGTAACCTATTAAATATGTGAATTGCACAATTTTAACATGTTTAAGGGTCTAATTGGAGATTTTTTAGTTCAAGGGTGTAAGTGCACTTTAGTATATAGTTGGAGGGTCTATTTGACCCTTATCCCAGAAATTAATAATAAAATAGAAAGTATCTCCCTTAATAGGACGTTTGGTTGGAATGAATGAATTAAGGGAGAAGGAATTGTTATTCGTGGGAAAAGAATAATGTGAGAATAAAGTAAGAATTCAAATTACATTTTTTGGTAGGGATGAATAGAATTATTGTGAATGAGAAGATAAGAAGTGGTATAAAGACTAAAATGTTGTAATAATAATACTAATAATAATCAAGGGTAAAAAAAAAAAAGTATTTTTCTTCCTTTTTCCCTTTCATTTTCCTATTGAATTGCAATTCATATGGGGGAGGGTATGAATTGCAATTCAACAAAATGAGGGAATTGCAATTCCCTCCAACCAAACACTATAATTTGAGTGACTAAATAATTATGTTGTAATTAAATTGCAATTACATCCAACCAAACAACCCATAAAAATTGAAAAATACTTCATATATTTCCAAAAACTTACTCTAATTTGTGTTCAAATTTGATTAGAGGAATAAAAAAAGAAATAGATAAAAATCATGACCCCCTATAAAATTGAGTAATCAAAACATGTCAAATCATATATAGTAGAAAATGAAAGTAGGAATTGGAAATACAAGTAGAATTACTTATAAAAATTAAAACGTATGTATGTCTTAATAAGAGCATCCACATTAGTAGCTCAAGTGGAGTTATTTCTACAATAAATCACTCAAGCCAAAGATAATACTTGATGTGGGAATGGGTTATTTGGAAAAGAATGAGCATGCAAAATGTGGTTTAATGTCAGAAATTTTTTTAAAAATAATAATAATAATAAAGCAGTGAGACGCAGTTGTGTCTCACCGCCCACCCAGCGGGCGCGCGTGCTACACCCGCCCGCATAATTCTGGTCGTTGCTGGCCGAGCAACGGCCAGAATTGTATCCATTGCCAGCAACGGCTACATTTCCGGCTCTTGCTGGCAACGGTTAACCTTTTTTTAAAATAATAAAAGTAATATATATGTTTCTATAAATACCATTAGTCTTCGCAATTTTTTCACATTTTATCCTTCCTCAATTCATTCATATTATTCTCTCCATTTCTACTCAATTCCTTTTATCATAATGGAAAAAGACAATTCTATCAATCCAAATTTACAATTCAATTTTCCTTTTTCTCAACCATCTTCTCAAAATTGTCAATTTCAAACAAGTTTTCAATTTTCACCAAATTTTTATTTTTAATCGCTTTGTAATTGATTAATATTAAATCGCGTTGTAGTTTAATTTTTAAGTAATTAGTTTTAATTATCATTTTATTTTATTTTATAATTACCGTATGAATTTGTATAGTATAGCTAACTTTTTATTATTTTCTTTTATTTTGTTTTACCATTCCATTTTGAATTCTCATTTTTACGCATATACAGTATGCATGTTTCTATTTCTTATTAAAATTAAAATATAAATAAAATAGATAAAGAAATAATTAAAATATAGTAGGTTAAATGATAAGTCTACAAATAACTCATAAAAAAATTAAAATTAATGTAAATAAAAAATTTTATGACTCAATAAAATAATTGAGGATGAGGTGGATGCTCGAGTCCACAAATAAGTCACAAATAACCCAATTGATAAGGTTGTCTTAGTGAAAACCAAATATCAGTGGGACACTACTGGGACATAGTGGGGAATCCTGTTCTAGAAATGGAAGGACAAATTGCCGGGGAGTGGTCCCCACGCACCACATCACCCGTCAGATTTCGCGGAATATTTACTTTTACTTCAAAAAAAAAAAAAAAAAACATATTTGCGGAAGAATGTACGGTTGCGGATAGGTACGGTCTCTCCGCACGTTAGCTGGTCTCCCACGCCAGCTGTGACAATTTCAACTCATCTCTACTTTATTGCATCGCTAATGTTTTCACATTTTACTTTTTATATTACCATAATATATTTTTATTTTTTTGAGAAGGAATAATATATTTTTATTAATTCTCTAAAATAAATTATTATTTTTTTATTCTTTTCTCCCATGAAATTAAATATATTAAGTTAATAGTTAATACTAGCTGAAGTCCTTCACAAGGCTCAAAACCTAGACCTCCCACATAGGGGAGCAATCTGATACCAATGAACCACAAGCCACTTAGTGTCCTTCAAATATAGTGATACACTCACAATGTCACATTTAATTTTAAAATTTTAATTTAATCACCCTTGAGCCATGATCCTTTAACTTTCAAGTTATACCATTAATGATATTTCAATTTTCAAGTTAACCACTCATAATTCTCTAACTTTCAAATTTTTAATCAGCTCTGATCCTAATTTTATCATTACTTAAACTAATATAAGGATATGACTGGTTAAATTTGAAATTTAAAAGATCACGAGTCATTAAATTAAAATTTTGAAACTAAACTTGATAATGTCACTATATTCGGAGGATCTTAATTAATATATTAATACATGTTTACAATACTATATAAAATTATAAGAGACTCGATTAAAAATGTGTTACAGGTATTAAAAATTAAACTGGTGACTTTATATTTACTAAAACTATCTGCAATGGACACACCAAATCACCAAAACGGTAAAAAAAAATAGTGTAAATGATCTCCAAAGAACACACATCCCACCAAATATTTGGTGAGACATGAACAGTGCATCACCAAATTTTTTGATGCATTGTTCATCTCACACCAAATTGGTGTTGTTTTTTTTATTCCCAAATTACTCTTTGTTTTTATTTATAAATTTTATATTATTGAAAATAAATTATATCATTTAGAAGAGCTTATCAACACGATTAAAATAAAATTAATATTATACATTGAATAATTAAAAATTAAACTATATAAAGCATAAATTTAATAAAATTAAAGCAAATTAAATCTAAAATTACTTTAAACAAAATTAACATAATATTTGCATTATAATTATATTTTATATTAAAATATTTAAAGATAAATATAATTTATGAGAAAATAAATTATTTTAGTGAAAAAATAAAATTTGGTGTAATGAGTTAGAAATGAAAAAAATTTAATATAAAAATATACTAGGAATATTTTTTTGGTGTAAAATTTAATGGAAAATACTTGGTGCACTCGCATTTTATACTCCCAACTTGTACTCTTTCTCACATGTTCTTGATGTAGAGATTTTTCTGTGAACCCACATGTTGAAAATAACCAATTCAAGTTTGCCACTTCAGGGAGTACAAATGAGGGAGTACAATTTGAGAGTCTGTTGTAGAATTCAAATTTAATACAGAATTTTGTGTAGATGCATATCATTTCCCTGTCACAATCACCCTTATGTCCCTATGGCTATGCTGCGTTTGAGCCGTGAACGTAGTACATTATCTGTACTCAGATCTGACGCTATTGGTCTTTGCATCTTCACCCTTGGTTTCTGATCAGGACAACCATTCTAGGGTCTAGATTTGTTTGACTTCAAATCCGTGATCCATGTTTGATATAGTGGTCCAATTTCAGATCTGACGCTATCCGGTTAGACACAAGTTTTTTTTTTCCGTAATCCGTATTATTTTCAAATTTACTTTTATGATCGACATTAATTTAATCAGATTTAGCATTTTAATTTTAAATTTTAAAAAATAAAATAATGTTGGTTCCAAAGTAAATGGAATTTAATTGATTTCTAAAATTTTGAAGAATAAACGTAAGTAATTTATTTTGTGGAAAAATATTGTCTAGCTCAAATTCATAGAAAAATTAATTAAAAAAATTCCTATTGTACTTGTCATTTTGGTTTGATTGCACTTGGATGAATTAATTATATTTTCGTATCTCGTCGAGTAAGTTCAATTGTTATGTAGTGGATTACGGTCAACACATCGCTTTGTAGATCATGATAATCGAATAAAATTGTAGTAGAATTAAAAAAAAAATGACATTTTAGTGTTACAATAATGAAAGTGTGTAGAAAATGAAACTAAAAAACATAGCACATTATTATCAAATAAAACTATAGTATAATTAAAATGATATTTTAGTATTGCTATAATGAAACTAGTGTGCGTGAAAAATGAAACTAAAATCTAAAGTCATACAATAACATATATTGTCAAATGACTTGAAGTGCAATTAAAATAATACTTCAACATTACTATAATTAAACTAGTATGTGTAAAAAATAAAATAAAATAAAAAAGAGCTCAAGCAATAATGTATATTATCAAATGAAACTATAGTAGAATTAAAATAATACTTTAATATTGCTATAATGAAACTAGTATAGAAAGAAAATGAAACTAGAATACATAATAATGTTGTCAAATGAAACTGAAGTGTAATTAAAATGATATATATATTATGGTCATGATTGCAGTAGGCGCTAAGCGCTAGTCGAGCGTCTGGGCAGCGCCTAGCGCTTAGGCAGTCTAGGCGGCGCTTGGCGAGAGCCAAAAAAATAGTGGCAGTCTTGCAGTTTGACAATTTTAATGAGGATGTTTTCAACATTAAATCAAATAACACATCCAAATAAATGAAATAATGATAATTCATAAGTCATAATATCAAAACAATAGAGTAAATACTCAAAATGGCCCCTCGACTATAGCTAAATTCACAAATTGGTCCTCAACTTTCAATTTCACCTAATTAAGTCCTTAACTTTGCAATTTTGACACGATTTGGTCCTCCATCTAATTGACCGTTTGTTGACCGTGATCGACGATCTCCAGAAGAACCTTCAGCTCTCGTCGGAGCACGTGAAGGCCTCCAGGATGACGTTGCACCGGTTCGAAAACACGTCGTCTTCTTCGCTCTGGTACGAATTCAACTACATTGAATCCAAATGGAGGATGAAGAAGGTGACTGGGTTTGGTAGACTGCTTTCGACAGTGGATTCAAATGTAACAGTGCGGTCTGAAAATGCAACCGAAACCTTAAAAAACCGACGATGGACCATGAAATTACATATATATCTCAAAAATCACAGTCAACAAACGGTCAAATAGACAGAGGACCAAATTGTGTTAAAATTACAAAGTTAAGGACTTAATTGGGTGAAATTGAAAGTTGAGGACCAATTTGTGAATTTAGCTATAGTCGAGGGACCATTTTGGGTATTTACTCAAAACAATATTAAAAATTAAAAATACTCAAATACTTCAATCATCTAAAGATTCAAAGTATCAAACTAGTATACGGGTATATATATAATGAAAAAAGAATAGCAAGGCCGAGCTGACCGGGTTAACTCGATCGAAATGAACGAGTTAACTTGGCCAAGTTAGACGCTAGGCGGCCAAGTCGGCTGAGTTAGGCGCTACGCGGACGCCTATGAGGGAAATCGCCACAATCTAGGGGCGCCTAGACCGATTTTTGCAACAGTGATTATGGTCAATGTTGTTACATAGGGTGTGTTTGGTTCGCACATGGGAATCGGAATCAGAATGTGTATCAAATACTTGGTAAAGGTAATGAGTTTTGGTGAAAGTATTTAACATGTTTGGTAATAGGGTGGAATGAGAATGGTTACTAATAGTAGTGTTTGAGAATGAATAAGAGAATGAAACCTTATTGATGGGGTATGAATTTTTCAATTGATGGGGTATTCAAAACCCATAGTAGCATTCTAAAAACCTATCAACTAAATAATAACAATCACTTTCGTACCCATTTCTATGGGCAAAATTCATTAATTAAATACACCCATAGATTATGTTTCACAATAAAATTTGCTCATTGTAAAATGAAACTGAAATGTAACTAAATTATATTATACATTATGGTCAATGTTACATAAATCATGTTCTACAATAAAATTTGCCGAGTAAGCTAGGACCTTATTCCCTAGATTTTTTTTTTTTGAAAAGTTATTATCAACGTGACGTCGTGACTTATCAAAGCTTGACCCCTTATTATTGACCCAGATCGCTTATCATCCTCAGCTCCTTCTTCCCTCCCACTTATATCCGTATAAAGTAAAGCCTCTGATGCAGGCGGCGCCACCCGTATGGCCGCCGCGCTCTATTGCAGCTGATTGCTAATTACTTTCCCAGAAAGTTTTATTAAAGAACAATAGTATTCAAATCGGCGGCGAACCATACAATGAAGAGTTCTTTGAACCGGAAGAAGCGTTTTGGGTCGGGTCGTTCTCTTTCTTCCTCTACACTTCAGCCTCTCCTCAACCTCCGCCTCCTCTTCCTCTTCGTTCCCACATAAATTCCGGCGAAACCCATTCCGCTTTTTCCTAGGATGTCATCTGAGCCTTCTCTCATACTGTCTCTCTTCACCGACGACGTTCTGGGTCGGATTTTGTCCTTTATCGCCGATGACGACGCCGACCGGAGATCTTTCCGGGCGGTTTGCCGGAGCTTCTTACGAGTTGACTCGCTCCACCGGACCCACCTCCGGATCCTCCGCCCCGAGTTCATCCAGCCTCTGCTCGCCAAGTTCCCGCGCGTCGACTCGCTCGACCTCTCCGTCTGTCCCCGCATCGACGACGCCGCGATGGCGGCGCTGATGGGGAACGGGTCGGGCCGGGCCGCGCGGGTGAGGAGGCTGGTGCTAAGCCGCTGCGCCGGGCTGAGATTCCACGGGCTGGAGATGCTGGCGAGGTCTTGCCCGTTTCTCGAGGCCGTCGACGTCTCGTACTGCTGCAATTTCGGGGATCGCGAAGCCGCCGCGCTGTCGTGCGCGGCGAGGCTGAGGGATCTGAGGTTGGATAAATGCCTGGGCGTAACCGACGTAGGTTTGGCTAAGGTTGCCGTCGGGTGTTCCGGTCTCGAGAAGCTGAGCTTGAAATGGTGCCTCGAAATCACCGATCTCGGCATTGATCTTTTAGCCAAAAAGTGCCCACACTTGAAGCTTCTAGATATCTCTTACTCAAAGGTCTCTCTCTCTCCTCCTCCTCCTCCATACATATACTATGTATTATCATATGCTAATATTGAAATCATGAAATGAGTTTGGTTTAGGTCACAAACGAGTCGTTGCAATCCATTAGTAGTATGCAAAAACTGGAGGTTTTGGCTATGGTGGGCTGTGGAGCAGTTGATGATTCAGGTTTGCATTATCTTGGAAAAGGCTGTCCTTTGCTTCAGGTATAAACGAATATAGACCTGCATGCATTTAGTTTAGCTTTAGATATGTATTGTTTGCATAGGTTCTGCTTCTTTTTGGTTGGGCCAATGCTGAAATTAGTTTCTACAGTGAAAATTGCATTTCATGACCTTCTCATTGGTATCACTGGATTGAGAGATGGTAGAGAACTCTCATACACTGCTAATTAGTACTTCATCTGTGTCTGGTTTGGTTAACGAGACTTCAGCAAGATTATTTTTATTCAATTTTTCATAATATTAGGTTCAGTATTAGTATATAGAATTTATATATTTTGAAACTACATTAAAAGTACTATTAAACACAAGAAATTAAATTTAAAAATAATAAAGAAAATAAGCAAAGAAGAAAGAGTTGGTTTGACGAATGAATAGTAAACATGACAGGTGAAATAGGAAGAAGGGAGGTAAAAGAGCTGGTTTGACGAATGAATATTAAACATGACAGGTGAAATAGGACGGAAGGGAGGTAAAAGAGTTGGTTTGATGAATGAATAGTAAACATGACAGGTGAAATAGGACAGAAGGGAGGTAAAAGAGTTGGTTTGACGAATGAATAGTAAACATGACAGGTGAAATAGGACAAAAGGGAGGTAAAAGAGTTGGTTTGATGAATGAATAGTAAACATGACAGGTGAAATAGGACAGAAGGGAGGTAAAAGAGTTGGTTTGATGAATGAATAGTAAACATGACAGGTGAAATAGGACAGAAGTGAAGTAAATGAGTTGGTTTGACGAATGAATAGTAAACATGACAGGTGAAATAGGACAGAAGGGGGGATAATATTTTTACTGGGTATGAAATCATGTTTTGATTGTTCAGTAGCTGATATACAGATTTTATGTTGACCTAAGAAGAACTAGGTAGATGCAATTTCTGAAGGATTCTTAAGTTCGATGCTGCTACATAATACGTTGAATGAATATTGTAGTTTTGGTATGTCGTTGAGTCAACTTTTTGGAGTGGCTAACTCTTTGTCCGGATGATAGGACCTGAACATATCGAGGTGTGACAAACTGAGTTTTTCTGCTTTGGCTTCATTCGTGAGTGGACATTCGGGCATTCGACAGATCCATGCCAGTTACTGCTTCTATGTGAGTGCGTTTTCCAGTTAAGTGTTTGAAAATTCGATCTTTTTCTGTGGGGTTTTCTTAAAATCACGTTGTAATTTGAATTGCTAAACTTGATGCTTCAGGAGCTTCCTACAAGCTTCATCAACCAGCTGGTGGATGTAATGAATCTGAAGAAACTCATCATTGATGGGGCACCTGTTTCTGACACGTGCTTTAAAATAATTAGCACCAATTGCAAGTTTTTGGTAGAAATTGGACTGGGAAAATGCAAAGGAGTAACCGACGGTGGAATTGAGCACTTGGTGTCGGGATGTGTTAATTTAAAAGTAATAAATCTTACGTGCTGTGGTGACATCTCAGATACTGCAATCTCGGCAATAACTGAATCTTGTAGGGATCTTGTTTGCCTAAAGTTGGAGTGCTGCAACTTTCTAACGGAGAAGAGTCTTGATCTTCTCGGGTCTCGAAGCTTCCTACTCGAGGAGATTGATCTTACCGATTGTCCTGGAGTTAATGACACTGGTGAGTTTCAAAGCTTCCTTCTTTTTTCTAAAGATTCAATGATCGATGAAATTTTTGATTGTGATTCTCAACTCTCCTTTTCGAAGGACTCAATTATCTGTCCAAGTGCTCAAAGCTGCTTTGTCTAAAATTGGGACTATGCACTAACATTTCGGACAAAGGACTGAACTATGTTGCTTTAAACTGCAAAGAGATTCGTGAACTTGATCTATATCGGTAGGTAATTTAGTAATTAGCCTTTCAAGTTTCAAGCCAATTTGATCATGTAAAGCAAGAATGCCCCTCTGATCTCTAGAAATATTTGCAGATGTACGGGGATAGGCGATGATGGAATACACGCTCTATCAACTGGTTGCAAGAAATTGAAGAAACTCAACTTGTCTTATTGCAGCGAGATTACTGACAGAGGGATGGAGTATCTAGGCCATCTACCCGAAATCTCTGACCTCGAGTTACGAGGTCTTTTAAACGTAACAGCCACAGGCTTGACCACTCTTGCATCTGGTTGCCAGAGACTTGCAGAACTGGATCTAAAACATTGTACAAACATCAGCGATTCGGGATTTTGGGCCCTTGCTTATCACTCGAGAAATTTGCAACAGGTAATTATAAATTCACAAATTTAATCATGAACACCTAGTGCTAGTTTTGTAGGGGTGTAATATATCTATCCCACTTCATATAATATTGTGTTAGAATCAGTGTTGCAAAAATCGCGCTTAGGCGCCGATTACCGATTAATCGGCGCCTAAGTGCTAGGAGGTCGGCATCCTAGGTGCCCGCCTAGGTGTTCTAGGCGCCCTAGGCGGTCCCCAGCGCCCTTGCCTAGAGGGTGCCTAGCGATTTTTTCAACATTGGTTAGAATTAGCACCATCCAGTTAGTTAAATATGGTACACTCAACCTGTTGTCTATGTTTTTAATTAGACTACCTAGACTATGCATTTCTACTAGTTTTTTTTTTTTTTTTTGGTTGATGGGGGAAACCTGCAGCCACTACACTAATCGCGCATAGGCATCGTTTACCAATTAATCGGCGCCAAGGCACTCTAGGCGCCCACCTAGGTGCTCTAGGCGCCCTAGGCGGTCCCCAGGCGCCTAGCGATTTTTTCAACCTTGCCTGAGTCTCACCTTGTGACCCTAGCCGACAAAGGACCACAAGAATGTAAACCAGCGTAGGTTGTCCATAGTTGACCTGTTCAAACCAAGAGGGGGTTGGGATTGGAACTCATGACCTTGTGGTTACAAGTTCATATCCTTAATCATCGTGGATGGGGTTACTCCCATTTCGTTTAAGATTTCACGACATCCCATCCTAAGTGTACACAAGATTGAAACTTGATTTTAGAAGATTGTTATGTTGTTGAGTGCAGATAAATTTGAGTGAGTGTTCAATATCAGATGTGGGGCTGTGCATGGTGATGGGGAACTTGAGGTGCTTGCAGGATGCAAAGCTAGTAAATGTTGGGAGAGTATCAGGAAATGGTGTTGAGCTTGCCCTCAGAGCTTGCTGTGCAACCCTTAAAAAGGTGAAGCTGCCTCATTCTTTTAGGTATATGCTTTCTGCTGATATCGTTAAAACACTTTTAGCAAAGGGTTGCAAGATTAGATGGGATTGATTAGATCATCTCCACCCTCAAAAGGTGAAGTCCCTTGTGAAGGATAGAGAGGATAAATCACGATAACTCAGTGACCTCTTAGGAGGTAGGATGAATGTTAAAAACTCTTTTTTTTTTTTTTTTTTTTTTTTTTTTTTTTTTTTTTTTTTTTCTACTTAAGAGATTTTGAGAATTCCACCTACAGCTACAATGCAATTTCTCATTTATCATGTTTTACAATTTAAAGTTGTGTATAATCTATCTATCTATTCTATTAATAAAAACAAAATTCTCCATTTTAACTTCTTGCTCAAAGTAGTTTTGCTCAATATTGTAAAATAGTGTAATACACTTTCTAATATAATATATTGTTTCCTACTTTTTTTTATTCATACAACAGTTTTACATTAAAATTCTTATTCATAATACAATATAACAATATTAAAATTAAAAAATTATAAAAATATTCCGTATCATTAACTATATTAGATTAAAAATGTTATAAAATATTGTACAAACATTTTATATGTCAAATCATTATAAATCAGAAAGCATGATAACATTTTTTTACAAATCTATACTATATATAATAACAAAATCTTGAAATTTTAACTTCTCGCCCAATTCCTAAAAAATCTCTCCTCCCAATAAAATATTTTGATTTCTATTTCCCATTCGTACAATAATTCTGGGTTAAAATTTTATTCTAAAATTTTAAAATAGCGTAATACAATTCCCTTTGCACATCTATCTATACTATATATAATAACAAAATCCTGAAATTTTAACTTCCTGCACAATTCCTAAAAAATCTCTCTTCCCAATAAAATATATTGATTTCTACTTTCCCATTCGTACAATAATTCTGGGTAAAAATTCTATTCTAAAATTTTAAAATAGTGTAATACAATTCACTTTGCACATCTATAGTCTATAGTATATATAATAACAAAATCCTGAAATTTTAACTTCACCCCTAATTCCTAAAAAATCTCTCTTCCCAATAAAATATATTGATTTCTACTTTCCCGTTCGTACAATAAATCTGGGTTAAAGTTGTGATGTGTCAAAAGTTCAGCAACACATAACTTTTGACTCGGTTGTCCGTTTTGGACAAATGTTCTTTTGAAATCGCGTATTTTTTCGAGATCTATCAACCGCAAACAGCCGTAGGCGGTTTGGCCCACCAATTTCTAAAAAAATGCTTTATTAAATAGTTTCTAAGAAAAAACTATGAGAACCTTATGTTTTATTAATGAATTTTTAAATTTTTTAATTAAAAAATTGTCTCGTGCATTATTTAATAATCTATCTTTATAATTGGTCAAATTATTTAATTATGATAAATTAGGGAATAATTAATGATGATAATAGAAATCCTAGAAGAATATTAGAATTGAAAAATATTTAATTATTGTTATATTATTATTGTGACTCACGGAATACAATACAAGAATATTTAATTATGGTTATATTATTATTGTGTACCTCACGGCCATTATATACTAACAAAACTTGAAAAGAAACTAATAATAATAATAATAATAATAATAATAATAATAATAATAATAATAATAATAATATAAGTGGTAAAAATAATATTTAAAAGTAATTAAGTGTTAATAATAATAGTAAGAATATTAACGTAAGAATTATAACAAAGAATAAATTGTAATAATTAATAACTATAGTCTAGGATTAAATTTGGAATTATCAGAAAAAATAAGCGACCTCTAGTGAAATTAACTCTTTATCGATTTAAATATTCTTAATATATTACAACAATTCTATTTCGTGCATCGCACGGGTGAAAATACTAGTAAAATAATAAAAGTATGTCTCTACTCCAATTTAACAATATTATTTCTATTCCTATTTAATAATAATATTATTCCGTCATTATTCCAATTGGTAAAAAAAAAAAAAAAAAAAAAAAAAAAAAAAAAAAAAAAAAAAAACTCAAATCGAATCCTCCCATAATATTTGAGAATATGCAAATTATAAACAACAATACTTAGGTTTGTGTAATCTATATCTATATTTCTATCTCTACATCTACAATCTACATCTACATCTACATCTACATCTACAATTCTAATAAGAGTCAATAATGTTAGGCCCTTAACTGGAACAAAAAAATGTCAATAGTATTGTTTTTTAAAATGAATGGTTCATATTATTTTGATTTTAGTATTTTTTTAATGATTTTTTTTATCCATTTAATGATTTTTCTTATTTACCCTTTATTATATTATTTTCTTCCCTTAAATAACCTAAATTCCGTTAGTATAAACTTTAGTAATGAAATATTCCGTTAACTATTTATTATTTTTAACTTACTCATTAATTTCTATAAGAAATGTTTTAGGTTCGAACCACATCCCAATTAAAGTTGGCATAATTGTTAAACATATACTGCGAATATGTTAAAATGTATTAAAATATATAGGAATAAGGGTCAAATAGGCCATCAAACTGCACATGATAATGCAATTAGGCCACTAAACCTAAAAAACCAACAATTAGGTCCCTAAACTAACCAATTTCAAACAATTCTTCCAATTTCAAGGTTTCCAACAGGTCAACAGATCATCCTCTCAAATTAATTATTTTTTAAAAAAATAAATTTTAAAAAATTATTAATTTTAAATTTTGTTTAAAAAAAAAAAAAAACAGACTCCAGTCGGAGACAACCGTCTCTGGCCAGTCCTGTTTTTTTCTTTGTTTGTTTTTTTTTTTTTTAATTTTTTTTTAAAATTTAAATAATAATCTTAAAAATTTATTTTTAAAAAAATAATTAATTTAGAAGGATGACCTGTTAACCTGTTGGAAATCTTCAAATTGAAAGAATTGTTTGAAATTTGTTAGTTTAGGGACCCAATTGTTAATTTTTTAGGTTCAGTGGCCTAATTGAATTATTGCGTGCAGTTGGATGACTTATTTGACCCTTATTCCAAATATATATAATATAAAATTTAACATAATCTTTTGTCAAATAATTAGTCCGACTAAATACATAACATTCAAAGTTAAGTATCACAAATTATAAATTAATAACTTTAAATATCATTTGAATTTTATGCATTTAAAAAAAAAAAACAAATTTAGGTTAAGTTTTTTTTTTTTTTTTTTTTTTTCGTTTAATTAATCTTCTTTTGATTATTTAGATCAGAATAAAACTTAATATTTCAATTATACTTTTGCATTATTGGTATGATTTAGGTAGTTATGGTATTAATATTTTTTATAAGTATTTTTATAATGGTACAATTGTACATTACTTTACAAATATTATACTATTATTTTTTATCGGACAAAATTGTTCTTACATCATTGTCAGACCTGCGTGACCTAATTACAAAGTTGTTGATTATAAATACAATAACCCCTGAACTCTAAAATGATATGACCATTTTTTAAAGAATTTGACTATGTTGACATCCCATTGGTTCCAATTGAACAAGTTTACACATCAGAATTTTATCAATGCATGAAAATTTCTACTAAAGAAATTTGTAAGTTAATTTATACTATATCATTATAACAATATATATTGTAACTATATATTTTGAATTATTTATTATCATCCTCTATTGAAAAGAATTGTAACAATTGTCATTGACAAACTCTAAAAACAATTTGTCTTAACAACGAACATAAATTAATTTAAAAAATCAATGATTTCATTATGGTTGATGAAAAATATGTACGCCACTTTATTATTCTTATTAAATTAAATAAATTAGTAGCTACAACAAAAAATAGTACATATGCATTTAATTAATTTAGAATTAATTGTCTATAAAGCCTTTATTTTTTATTTTTTTTAAAAAAAATATTCATTATAAAAATTTAAAAGAGATTAGTTATATTATCTTTATTTTCTACAATTCAAAGATTCATTACCTACAAATTTATTAATTTATTACACTACATTGTCCATTGTCTTCTTTTTACATTATCCTGTAATTAAATATCAAAGTTATAATACAAAACATGTTATATATATTTATTTACCAAGTATTTTATACAAATATAATAAATATTAATATTTTGTTCAATACTTTCACATGATAACTTACGACACACATCTCACAATGCATGAAACATGTAGGGAAAACTACCACTACTAAAAAATAATCATTGGACATTATTCCATCCGCGCAAGCGCGTAAAAGAACTAGTATGTACTACTAATAGAAATAAAATTGTACTTTTAACAACTTCTCGTCAAAATTACCTCACAAGCTATTACGTATTATATAAAATCTAATCTAATAATTATTATGGCAAATAAAAGCTTAATAAATGTGACAAATTTTATGTACATTTTTTTTATACTTAAGGTATAATAGTATAATTGTACAATATTAGTATATTTACCTAATAATTATTATGGTAATTATGCTAATAATTACCATATTAGTATAATTACAATCAAACATGAGAGTCAAGTACTTTGTGCTTGGATTGCATGTAGTGACTTTTCTCATGTGAGAGGTTATGAGATCGAGTCTTAGTAGAGACATTGTTAACTCTTTAATGCTTCATTAGGTTGAGAAAGTATAATAGAGTTAGCAACATTCAAAAATTAAACATGGATCTTTTGATTTTTTTTTTTATTTATAACATTAGAATTGTTTATAATTTCATCTTTAATTTTATTATCTAAATATATAATAAAACATTTTATCAGTGCATCGCACGAGTAATACGACAATTATTTACTCGAATTCAAGCAGGGGTGTGTTTGGTTAGTGGGTTTTGCCCATAGGAATGAGTATGAAAGTGATTGTTGTTGTTTGGTTGATAAGTTTTTAGAACACTACTATGGGTTTCGAATACCCCATCAATTGGAAAACCCATACCCAAATACAATAAGGGTTTCATTCCTTTATTCATTTTCAAGCACTACTATTAGTAACCATTCACATTCCACCCTACTACCAAACATGTTAAATACTTTCATCAAAACCCATTACCATTACCAAGTATTTGATACCCTTTCCGATTCCGATTCCTATGTGCGAACCAAACACCCCCCAGGATAACATCAGAAAATATAATCGATACAAGTTATTTCATCAACTGTACTATATAATATTCGTTGTTATAATTTATATTTGTATA